TCTTTGATTCTGTCTCTCTCTTACACACACACATACGTCTTCTATTGCGGGTTCACTTCCCAATTACCCCCAACAGCCACCTCTCCCACCAGCTTCTCATCCTGGATTCCTTATCTCAGGGATTGAGAGCTCAGCTCCCCCAGCCTGAAACGGCAATGCCAGTTTTGTCCCATGCCGGTTGTTACCAAGTCCTGTCCAAGGTCTGAAACCCACACATCAACTCTTCCTGGGAACATGGCAAGAGGAACAGCAGTCACTCCTGCCCCGTCCAGTCTGTGCTGCACTGTACAAGCCTGGTTTTCTTGCTGAAATGAAAGCATCGCCACTTTCCGCCTCTCCCAGGTCTTGCTGCGGCCCCCGGTCACTTCTAACAAAATCTCACTAAATGTCGTCTTCAGATTATGTGTATCTGAATTGCTCCAGTTTATGAAATGTGCCTTCTCAGGACTTGCCGCACCCCTACCTCAGATTCCCTGCGGGGAAGTTCACAGATCTGCATCCTGATGGGGCTCCTGCGTCATTTTCCACATCTACATCCTATAGCACACCTCGGCAACACTTCCTACACGTGCCGTGTGCACTCACAGCCCCAAGAGAGTCTCCCACCTTTGCAGTGAGGACTGCAGAGTGTAGCTGGGGGAATGAGGAAGCCCAGATTCTCCCCCAGTCAGCCCCAGTGTGGCCCCGAAGAGTCCCTCCTCATCTTGCCTCCCATACATGTCTGCACCTCAGGTGGGCTAGACTCTACCCAACAACTCCAGACAGACCCTCATGAGAGCCGGACAGGGGCAAAGGGGCGGGGGAGCTGGGTGTGTGGGAGACGGCCCTTTAAGACTGTCTCGGGCTTCTGCAATATTTGAGGTCCTCTGAGAAGATACACTTGGTGCCAGTGCAGTGGCATAACAAGTTAAGCCTCTGCCTGCTAGTGCCAGCATCCCATTTGGGCACTGGTTCGTGTCCCAGCTGTTCCTCTTCCTAGCTAGCTCCCTGCCCATGGGCTAAGAAAGGACAGCCAAAATCCTTGGGCACTTATGTCTACATGGAAGACCCGGAGGAAGTTCCTGGTTTCTGGCTTCGTTTTGGCCCAGTTCTGGTGGCTGGCCATTTGGGAAATAGACCAGCGCACAGAAGACCTCTCTTTCTCTCTGTCTGACTCTGCTTTTCCAATACAAATAAAGATTTTTTAAAATGCACTGACAGCCCCGTTAAGAAAATAGGTATGAAGGGCATTGCAAAGTCATGCAGCTCAGAGGTGTCCCCCTCCCTAGTGCCTGTGCGGCGTGTTCACAGAGCTCTCCTCCCCGGCAGAGATGCCTTACACCCCAAGGTCACGAGCCGCGAGCCACTGCTCTCTCAGGATGAGAGAAGGGGCAGATTGCTAACAGCCTGCTAACAGGGTGGAGTTTCCTAAATGACAATTCCTTTCCTGCCACAGCTCATCGCATGTATACATAGAATGTGGCTCTCTGTTGTCCACAGTGGTTACAAGGCCAGCCTGAGGAGGAGGCAAACAGATGCCATTTGAGGATGTGGGAGTGGTGAGGTCATACTATGAAGGAACATGCCATCTTGTGGAGGTGAGGTTTGAGACAAAGACCCAAGACACTACTCTGGATACGGCTTTCACTGTGAATATTAAACCATCTTTGCTTCTGACTCAGAGAGCTTATGGTAGCTGTCGGAGTGTCCGCCTTGTTAACGTGTCAGTTGAGCAACCTCTCAGCCCCATGACAGTCCTGATCACACTGTGGGCATGCTGTCCTTATGGGGGTGCATGCATTTGGGCTGAGTGGAGAAGGGATCTGGGTGGGCAGGGATTCCTGCTGCAGGCCGGACAGCCAGAGAAAGGCTCGGAGCTCTCACGGCAGGAGAGAGTGAGAGAGCGCTAGAGCTTACAAGCACAATTTATTCTTAAAACAAAAATCAACCTACGGAACGATTTCTCCCACTTTTCATGGTGTGGGCTGGCTCACGGATGGCTGGCAGGCCTGCAACAATCTCCTCCCTGTGGCCTGCAGCTGCTGGCCAGATGGGTCGAGGAACACACAGTGCCTAGGTGCCCAGCAGAAGCGGCTGCTCCTTTAATGATTCCACTTGGAAATGGCACGGCATCATCTCTGTCACATCCGATGTGTCGAAGAGGTCCCAGGACTGAGAAACAGTCTCACTCTCGTGGTGTGAGAGTGGCAGGCTCACCTTGTGGAAGAGCCAGTGTGGCAGCGCCTAGGATGGCAGCCCTGCCTGAAGCACAGGGCACCAAAGGGGCATTACACAGAGCAGGTCTCCAAGCCAGCAAGCCCTGCAGGAGCGTCTGGGGAATGTGCTGGAGACAGACTGTGGGAGATCCTGCACATGGACACTGTAGAGCTGTGGAGCAAAGCCTCCACTAGCCTCGACTAGCAGACCCACCAGCTGGGCTCTGGCAGCTTCCAGCTGATATCTTTACTCATCTTTTTGGACTTAATGCTTAGCAATATATTTTCAAAAATATATATACTACTTGTGTTTTTAAAGATTGATTTATTTTTATTGGAAGGTCAGATTTACAGAGAGGAGAGACAGAAAGATCTTCCATCTGCTGGTTCACTCTCCAAATGATCACAGTGATCAGGGCTGGACCAAAATGAAGCCAGGAGCTAAGAGCTTCTTCTGGGTCTCCCACATGGGTGCAGGGTCCCAAGGCTTTGGGCTGTCCTCCACTGCTTTCCCAGGCCACAAGCAGGGAGCTGGATGGGAAGTGGAGCAGCCGGGACATGAACCGGCACCCCTATGGGATGTTGGTGCCCATATGGGATGCTGGCACCCATATGGGATCCCAGTGCATGGAAGGCGAGGTCTTTAGCCACTAGGCTACTGCGCCAGGCCCAGCAATATATATAGAGCCTCATATATTTTTTCAAGATTTGTTTATTTGAAAGGCAGAGCTACACAGAGGGAGAGTCACAGAGCTCTTCCATCCAGTCTACTTTCTAAATGTCCACAGTGGCTGGGGTTGGGCCAGCACTAAACCAGGAACTGTGCCAGGCTGAACCCATGAGCCAAGGAGTTTCTTCTGGATCCCCACATGGGTGCAGGGCCCCATGCATTTGGGCCATCTTTCACCACTTTCCCAGGCCATAAGCAGGGAGCTGGATGGGATGGTAGCAGTCAGGACTTCAACTGGTATTCATATGGGTTCCTGGTAGCACAAGTGGCAGCTTTAGCTGCTATGCTAATGGGCAGCACCTCAAGCCACCTTTTCTAGGAAGACCCTTCTGCAGATTTGGACAGGTATTTCTTATGGGTGACAGGGATCCAGATACTCTCAGCATCATCAGTGTCTTCGCAGGCACATCCCCAGGAAGCTAGGCGGGAGGTGCCGCAAGCTCAACTGGCACCCTGCGCTAGAAGGCAACTGCCTTAGCTGGGAGCTGAACTCACTGCACTGCAACACCTGCCTCTGATATGTCTTTGGCCTTCACTTGGCTGTCAGCATCTTAGCCAGGAGTATGTAGACTCATCTAAGTCCTCAGTGTAATTGCCAAGAGCATGATCAGGTCCCAGTGAACTCTTCTTTGGTCTGATGCTCCTTGAAGAATAGCAGACTTGAAATACTTAAAACTGCAGTGTTTAGTTTCTTAAAAATGTCAGGGCTGCTAGGATGCTTGCATCTACTTCAACAAAACACCTGACAAACTGGTGTCCCTGCTTCCTTGGGCTGCTGCACCATGCACCATATATTCTGTGGCTTGAACAAAAGCGATGTGTTCTCTCATCATGCTGGAGCTGGAGAGTCTAGCAGCAAAGTTCAATCAGGGCGTGGCCTTTGCTCAGGGCTCTCCTCCTGCTTTGCAGAGTCACCTTTCTGTGTGCCCACTTTTCTTGGCGCCTGCAGGCAGCATGCAAGGCCAAGCTCTCTCTGGTCCCTGGTTCATGACCAGATATTTCCCAAAGGCCCCATCTCCAGATGCCATCCGCTGGGGAGTTAGGGCTTCAACAGAAGAATGGGGAGGTGCGAAAATTCACAAATGCGGTCCACAAGAGGTGAACCACTTGAGGATTCTGGAAGACCAGAAGATCTGCACAGCTTCCCTTCCCCCATCATCCTCACCCCCTCCTAGGTGGAACATGGCTTCCAAGTGTGTAGCCATCACATCTATTTCAGTGTGAAATTACTAAGCTGCCTCGGTGGCTTGGCCCTGCAGCTCGCTCTCTTATCAGCAAGTGAAGTGGTCCCTTGAAGAGGTCCTTAGCCATGTGTGTGTCCTAGGTGTTTTGTCCACAATCAGAGAAAGTGCAGGCCAAGGGCCAGGTTCCCACACCTACTGCCGTGAAAATTGGGAGGGAGCTGAGGGTGCATGCGGTGTCTGGCATGGGAATGCAAGCTAAGTGAGAAGGCAAAGGAGTCAACCCAAGAAAGAAACATCCCCCACGTTTTAATCAGCTGGTATTGCCTTGGTTTGCACAGAGGAGATTTTTAACCAACAGAAGTTCAATGTTACTACATCAACCAAAGACGTGAGCTCTGAGCGCGATATCAGAACACTTGGTTGATTGCCCTGCAGATGGCAGGGAGTCGTGTTCCGTGGCAGGCAAGAGGAGGGGGCAGTGGTGCCAAGAATGGAATGGGAGAGGAATTGGCAAAAATGTTTGCGATAGCTCCTGCTTCAGGTTGTCAAGACTAAGGGCCCCCAGGGAATCTGGCCTGCCTCCACGCTAAAACTTTCTTGGAACCAAAAGTGAAGGCAAAAAAAAAAAAAAAAAAAAAAAATTAATCCTGGAGTTCATCCTCGCTTTTTCTACACCCCCCCATATCGCTATAGTCAATCCGGTTTGACTTTCAGAACAAAAAGGATCCTACGCACAGCCCGAAGCCCAGGGGCGCGGTGCTGGCGCAGGTCGCAGCAGGAAGCGCCCGGGCCCACGGCGTGGGCTCCCGGGGGGCGGGCGCCAGGTGCAGCGTGGGCGGGAGGGGGGCGCCACGCGCCGCGCCGCGCCGCCCCCTGCGCGCGAGGCCTTGTGGGTAACGCGGGGCCGCCAGGTGACAGTTAATGGCGGCTGCCGGCTGAGGCTGGCGGGCGGGTGGGCGAGCGACGAGCGGGCCGGCGGCGGGAGGCTCGGGAGGAAGCTCCCCGGCCGCCGCTCCGCTGCCGACTGCGGCGTCTCCAGGCGGCGGAGGGGCTCCCCGAGGCCCGCACGCCATGGACAGAGCGGCGGCGGGCGCAGCGGGCTGCGAGGGCGCCGGAGGCCCCGGCTCGGGAGCGGCCGGCGGCCGGAGGCCCCCCTGGACAGCGGGGGGCGCCCCCGCCGGCTCGCGGCAGCCCAGCGTGGAGACCCTGGACAGGTAAGCGGAACCCGGACGTTCACGCTGTGTCGCGTCCCGACGCCGAGGGCTCCACGCGGGGCCCGCGCGTCCCCTTCCCCGCGCGCTTCGCGGCTCTGGGCGGCCGAAGCCTTGGGGCCGGGCGACCCCGCTCGTGCCCCTTCAGCTCCCCCAAGAGCACCCCCTCCCAAGCCCGGGGCCCTCGGATCTGGCCCGGGCTGTGCACCTGGCTCACTTCCGCCTCAGCGGCTGAGCTCGCCCAGCTCCCGGCACTTCGCAGCAGCGGTCACACCTCTTGGCACGCCACCTCCTGCTGCTCCCTGAGCCCTGGGCCGCCCTTGCCCGGCACGAATGCTCTGAGGGCCAGTGTGCGCTTTGAAGACCTCAGTCCTACACTACCTGCTTAGAGGGTCTGGGGTGTTTGTCGGGAGTGGGAACTGGGGGCGGGCCCTGATCTGACCAACTGGCCTGGAGGACTTCCAGGCACGGAGTCCGAGGGACTTGCACTTCCTCCTGCTTGCAAGGAGCTGCTGCATTGCTTTCGGGAACATAGAAGCTTGCTGCTACTGCATAACAAGTGAGTTGGCAAGCAGAATCCGGCCATGTGGCAGCGGGCAGGGGCACAGGACCTGTCCTCAGAGGCGGCCGCGTGGCTTGCCTGGGTGCTCTGGCCCCCGGGCCGACGCGGCTGCCACTTGCTGATGGCACAGCCACGCTTGGAATGTGGCGCGGGCAGTTTCAGAGGTTGGTTCCTGCCCGGCTGACTCAGAGCAGTGTGTGGAACATTTGGGAGTTTCCAAAAACACGGGAGCCACAGCACGCCTCTGCTTCCTTTGGCGTAGACCCCAGCGTCACTGCCATGTACTTTTAACAAGTGCTGCACTTCGCGGAGAAGCAGTCACAAGCAAGAGAACGCTTGGGCGCGTGTGCACTGAACTCCACGAACCTTGAGCAGTGCCTGAGCTCTCGATGGTCCAGACAACTCAAGGTGCTTTTTGCTCCTTGCTTTACCGCCTAAGAATACAAAGGCACTGTTGAAATCGTATCACGTCATAGGCTACAGATGAGCACACAGAAAGTGCCTGGGATGAGACACACATGTCAAGCAGCGAAGGAACTAGGGGGACACTGCCTTCCTCCCGAGCTTTTGAAGGGGTGCAGATGGCGAGGTGGCAGGCAGAAGGATTCCGAGGTGGGGTGCAGGGTGGTTTTCAGAGGTTCCTCTGGGCAGCCCTAGGTGGGGACTCCCTGATGTGTGCTTAGGGGAGCTTGCACAGTAGAAGCAGTCAGAGATCTTCTGGGAAGCTGACATTTGAACTGTGAGGCGGTGCAGCCTCTGGCCGTGCAGGCAGTGCGAGGAGCCGGTAGCAGAGAAGGCCTCTTGTCTGCGGGAAGATGGCCTCCCCGAGGAGTTGTGCTTCCTCGGTGAACAAGCCATGCTGCCGGGCAAGCAGGAGGTACTCAGCTTTGGGATGGAGGAGAGCCTGGGGTCTGCATTGTTAACATGCACTACAGCTGTGAGCCACACGCACCATGTAGTCTTTGGGGGCGATCCTGGTTGACTTGTTGTAGAGCGAAAACGTTTTTGAAAACATATTGGAGATGGGAGGCTGGTGTTCTGGCCACACCTGCTGTTCGAGTCCTGGAATCTCATTTCACATCCAGCTCCCTGTCAGTGCAGCAGGGACTTGCTGCTCCCCACCCCCCACCCCCACGTCGAAAGCCAGATGGAATTCTAGGCTCCTGATTTTGGCTCTCTCAGTCCTGCTTCTGCAGCCATTTGGGGAGTGAACGAGTAAATGAAAGACATCTCTGTCTGCTTCTCTCTCTTCAACTCTACCTTTCAATTAAATAAATCTTGAAATAAATTATTTGGAAGACAGGCAGGCAGCGGGAGTGCCCCGGCCTGCTGGTTTATTTCCTAAGTGCCTGCAGCAGCTGAGGTTGGGCCAGGGCTGACGCTGGGGACGTCCAGGTGTTTGAGGAGGGTGGAGGTGGGTGACTGGAGCCGGCTGCTGCTTGCAGCTGCCCAGGTGTGGGACACGGGCTTCGCAGCGGTGGCTGCAGTACTCACTGCTGCTCCGTGGCATCATTAGCAGCAGGTTTTTTTCAGTGCTCCCTTGTGCGTTGGTTTGGATGAGGAAATACATCATCAGGTTAACTGTGGGGAGCACCAAAGGCTGTCACCCCGGGCACTGCGGGGTGTCCTTTGCCATTCCAGGATGATGGCGCTGCCGTAGTGTGGCAAGTACACTGGGGTGGAGAGTCTAGCTGGGAGGTGTTGAAATGCTTGACCATTCAGTAATCCTGCGCATGAGGGCCTAGCTGGCGTCAGGCACTGCAGCAGGGAGAAACTGCAGATCCCTGTGCATTGTGCTTTTGGAAAGGCCACCAAAAGGTGAAACAGGTTTTCTGTTTAGGTGATGGTATGCATTTAGGTAAAGAAAAAAACGTAAGCTGAGGTGGGGATTAAGACATGTTGGGCAATGGGAGGGCAACATGTGGCACCTGTGACATTAGCCTCCCATATGGCTGGTTCAAGACCCAGCAGTTCCACTTCTTATCCAGCTTCCTGGTAATGCACCTGGGAAAGGAGTGGTAGATGGCTCAGGTCCCTGAGCCCCTGCACCCATGGGGGATCCAGAAGAAGTTCCTGGCTTCATTTGGGGAGTGAACCCATAGATGGAAGATCTCTCCTCTCTCTCTCACACTCTTCTGTAACTCTGCCTTTCAAATAAATTTTTAAAAATCTCTAAAAAAGAAGTGTTGGCGTATATGCTTTGGATGGTGGTTGGAATTTTGGGTAGAAATATCAGGAAAAGTCTGAGAAAGGTGGCTTGAAAAAATTATTTTTTATTTCAAAGTCAGAGATCTTCCATCTGCTGCTTCACTTCCCAGATGACTGCAACAGCCAGTGCTGGACTACTCTGATGCCAGCAGCCAGGAGCTTCTTCCGGGTCTCCCATGCGGGTGCAGCGTCCCAAGGCTTTGGGCTGTCCTCCACTGCTTTCCCAGGCCACAAGCAGGGAGCTGGATGGGAAGTGTAGCTGTTGGGACACGAACCACTGCCCATATGGGAGATTGGCGCTGAAGGAAGAAGCTTAGCCAGCTGGGTCACAACGCTGACCCCAAAGGTGGCATTTGAGAATGCCCTGAAGAAGTGAGGGTTCCAGTCATCCAAATAGCCAGATGATAACAGCCTATGCAAAGGTTCTGGCTATAAAACTGTATCATCAAGTCCACTAAGTGTTACTAGCAAGTAGGTTATTAGGGAGAGAAAGGATAGGCCTCAGGGCGGTGGTGGAGAGCCTTGGAAGCCATGGTAAACTGTTGGGGACTTTGTTTTAGAGGGGTGACGTAGTGGGGGTCAGCATGGGTGCTGTGTGTATATTAGAGCGGCCGAGTTAGGGGTTGGAGCAGGCTGACTCTCAAGGCCAGATGAGAGGCTAGTGCCTTTGCTCAGGGTACGGGGCAGAGGGAAGAAGTGATCAGGCCCTAGACAGGACCTGAAAGAGACTGCAGGCTTTGGTGATGGTTGCTTAGCGGGGAGGAGAAACAAGTCAGTGGATACCAGTTATATAGTTTGTGGAAGAACTGTGTTGCTTAGCATGAAAAACATCTAGGAGGAGCAGAGTTAGGAAATAGTAGGCTTTCAGCTCTGGGCATATTGATGGTCAGGTCCCATTGAAATGTTCCATAGCAGTTATTAAAGAGGCAGTTGGTGTGTGGGCAGGGAGTTTGGGGCTGACATCTGGCCTGGAAACCTGAACTGAAGCGTCATCTGCACGTAGATGGTGCTTAAATTCTTGAGGTGGGAGAAGAGCACAGAACAGTAGGACTCTGGCAGGGCGGATTTTCAAGGTGCTTAGCACAGGAAAGTGACAGTCTAGGGAGTGTTTGGCTGAGAGGATGAAGCAGTGGGGGCTGAGTGGATAAGCTGGGATTTCTTTGAGCTGGATTAGGAAGCGTAGCCGCAGGCAGGACTGGTGCCCATAGGAGATGCTGGTGTGTAGGCCACGGTGTGGTGGCCTGGGATTTACACTGAGTCAGGAATTACAGGGGGATGTTGTGGGACTGAATGACCCATGGCAGCTTATGCAGGGTGACTTGGCAGGGACTTTGAAGCAGGCTGGTAGAGTCTTGCATGGAGGAGTGCCAGGCTTCAGAGCGGGAGGGATCCTGCTGGGAAGTCCAGTGTGCAGGTGCCACTTGCTGCCAGGGAGAGGAGGCCGCTCACAGGAGAGACATGGGGTGGTGTGGGGGAGGGCTCGGCTTCCTGCCTCAGTTCTGAGCTCTGGACAAGCTCCTGTTCATATGTAGCTTTCAAGAGGGGTCCCTCAAGAGAGCGTGGCTCTACAGGCCCAGCTGTGGGACCCTCAGCTCTCTTGTGCAAGCTTTGCTGCTCTTAATGACTGTGGGCCTACACTCCTTGAGAGCAGGTGACTTGCTCAAGGTCCTGAGGAGGTGACAGCAGCAGGGTTGGAATGTAGCCTCCTATCTGCGAGCCACTGTGTGACGCCATTTGGAACCACATTGGCCAGGACACTTCTGGTTATAGGTGACAAAACCACAACTCAGGCTACCTTAAGTCAGAGGACGTTCACTTCGCTCACAGAACTGCTGCAGTTTGGAGTGGTGGTCCTGGCTGGGGCAGGGCCAGAGTCTGGAGTGGTGGTATTGGGGGCAGTGCTGTGAAATGCCTCATAACTTGGTTTGCTTATTGGGCTTTGTATCTTAGAATTCCCATGGGGAATGGGGGTCCCGGTTGCAGTGGGGTGATGGGCATGGCCTTCAACAGTTCTGGGGCAGATCTGCACTGCTCCGGGTCCAAGAGGAAATCCTGGGATTGGCTGGGCTTGGGTGACTTACCTCTAAGTGCGGAGGGAGACTGAAGGGGCCAGCCGTCTACTGTCTTCTTTCCCACTGAATTCTGTGGAGTTGGGCTGGGTGGTTGGTTCCCTGAGGAAGCTAGAAAAGGGGATACAAGCAGACGGTACCACAGGCCACTTGGGGTCAGCAGTTGTGTTCCCAGAGGGCTTTCTTTTTCTCGTCTATTTACAACCAGCAATGAGTGCGGACAGAAAAATAAAGCATTATGGCAGGAAAGGTAGGATATAAGCAGGGAATAAAGGTGCCTTAGCCTTTAAAAATGAAAGAAAAGGGCCCAGCATGGTGGCCTAGCCACCTAATCCTTGCTTTGCACACACTAGGATTCCATATGGGCACCGGTTCTAATCCCAGCAGCTCCGCATCCCATCCAGCTCCCTGCCTTTGGCCTGGGAAAGCATTCGAGGATGGCCCAAAGCCTTGGGACCCTGCACCTGTGTGGGAGACCTGGAGGAAGTTCCTGGCTCATGGCTTCGGATCAGCACAGCACCGGCTGTTGCAGTCACTTGGGAAGTGAATAATCGGACGGAAGGTCTTCCGCTCTGTGTCTCCTCCTCTGTATATCTGACTTTGCAATAAAAATAGATAAATCTTTTTTTTTTTTTTTTTTAAGAATCTTGTAGTTCTGGGGCCTGACGAGAACTCCAGGCTGTCACTCAAAGCAGCAGACAGATTTATTTTTAAAAAAGAAAAAAGAAACAAAAATTCACTCTTTTCCCTCAAGCCCTGTCCGTCTTAGCATTTGGGATAGATGGATTTCTGGCATATGATATGAGCTTCTGCCTGTTCTGCCAGTGTTTTCACTTAGACTTTCAGAAAGATGTCCCATTCAGCAGGACAGTCAACGGGGGTTGCAACCACCTCGGAGAGATTGGGGGACAAGAGACACGAAGAATGGACAGCAAGACAGGATGTCTGATCAAGCTGTCAGTTTATTGATTTTAATTGAGGGTTTTTATACTCTTCAGTAACTAAGGCTCAGGGAGGAAAGGAGAAACTAGGACGCAAGCCATGGTCTCCAGACCGATTGTTCTTGAGCAGCTACCATATCCACAATAGTAACCAGCATATCAACAATAGCATAGGTAATCAGTAACAACATGTCGGCAGATACAGCATAAATCACATTCTAAAACAGTTGCTAGAAACAATTGAAGCTAAGCATGTGATTAGTTTCATAACTTCTTTCCCAAGCATCTAGCCAGCCGGGGATTTTCCACTGGCCCATAGTTCTATATTCAAAATGGCTTCAGTGTGGCTACAGTACACGGCTCCTGACAGAAAGATGCTGGTCAGTAGCTTAGACAGCTCACCCACTGCCTGCGGCGCCGGCATCCCATATGAGCAGCAGATGGAGTCCTGGCTACCCTGCTCCTGATGCATCTGGGATGCACCCACACAGGAGACCAGAAGAAGCTACTGGCTCCCAGCTTTATGCTGGCCTAGCACTGGCCTTTACAGCCATTTTGGAAGTGAACCAACAGATAGAAGATCTGTCATTCTCTAACTCTGCCCTTCAAATTAAAAAAATCCTTAAAAAAATACGCAGAAAACCACTGGACCATCTTCACCAGAGAGTGCGATTTAGATGAATAGTGCCGAACATAGCTTGTTCATCTTCTTCTGGGTTATCCCACTCATGGCTTAGGGATTGTGGGTATCGGCAGCCTTCCACGACAGGAGCTGAATTAATTAGTGGTGTGCATTTTTCAAGGTCTGAAAATAATCTTCGCAGTAAAAGCTGTTTGTAAGGTAAACCTTCGTAAACATTTTTGCCCTCTTGTTAATTTCTTCAGTGTTTTGATAAATGATGAGAGACCTGGCCTTTGGGGCAGTTGTTAATTCTCTTACATGGGCCTTTGGATCAGGGGACCATGGTCCATCTACTTGATAATTCTAGGCCCTTGGACTAAACTGTTGCCTCAGTTTTCTCATGTGTGAAATGGGGCACAGTGGGCTGGTAGGGCTCCAGCTGTGCAAATGCTTTGAACAGTAGAACACTGAAGAAGGGGGTGCTATTGTCTTTACATGGTCATGTTTTCAAGAAGTTGGTTGGCGGGCATCTGCAGTACCGGCTTCAGCTCAGTGGGTTCACCACCGTTGGCTGTGCCATGTCATAGCTAGACAGCCACTTTCTAACCGTCTGTGTCACCTCTGCACCTCCGATCTGAAGACCAAGATGACTGGGCAATCCCTTTTGAACTTACTTGTCATACCGTGTTTCTGAGGACAACCGGAAAACCCTTCTATAAATTGCCAGAGCATCTACCAAAATGTAAGGCATCGTTTTTCTGACCTTATGGAAATCTTTTTTTCCTCCATTAAGAGTCTTACAGGTACACTGTTCTCTGTACTTAGAGTTGCCATTGTGAAACTGAATTTTTGTAAACCATATGCAGTATGCTGTTTATTTCACTTTAGAATTAATTTTCCACAGACATTACATTAACAGTATTTTTTCATATAGTATGGGAAAGAGCATGGTCTCGGTGCAATGACTCAATTGGCTAATCCTCCCCTTGCTATGTGCTGAGATCCCATATGGATGGTGGTTCATGTCCTGTCTGTTCCATTGTCCGTGCAGCTCCCTGCTTGTGGCCTGGGAAAGCAGTTGAGTATGGCCCAAAGCCTTGGGACACCCTGCACCTGCATGGGAGACCTGGAAGAGGCTCCAGGCTCCTGGCTTCAGATCGACTCAGCTCTGCTCTGGCCATTTTGGTCATTTGGGTAGTGATCCAGTGGATGAAAGAGCTTTCTGTCTTTCTTTGTGGAAATGTACCTTACCAATAATATCTATCTATCTATATCTAGATCTCTCTCTGTGTGTGTATGTGTATATATATATATATGTATATATATGATAACATGCTTAGCTATGTCACACCAAGAGGAAAATTGGCTTGACTCACTTAAAATTAGGATGAGAACGGATGGTGCAGTGGCTAAGGCCCTGCTTGGTAAAACTGTCTGCTATGGGCGTGCTGTGTGCCATCAGCACAGCCCAGCTTCTGCTGCTGTGTGCTTGCGTCCCTGCCCCTAGGGGACTAGGGTTGAATTCCCTATTCCTTGCTTTGGCCTGGCCCAGCCACAGTTGTTGCAGACATTTGAGGAATAAACAGCAAAAGGGAGATCTTACTTTCTCATTGCTTCCCACCTGCCCCTCCCCGGAATCTAACCTTAATTCCTAGTTGTCAATCGGTATTTCAACTATTTTATTTCATTTTTTCCCCCTGAAGTACAAGCAGCAAGTACTGATGCAGAAGCTGCATAGGTGACCTGCAAGATGTGGCCAGGACAAGGATGAGTGAAGTGTTATTGGAGAGCAGCTCTGTTTTAGAGGTTTATTTTATTTATTGGAAGGGGAGCGAGAATGAGAACTCTTTTTCTGGTCTCTGGTTTCCTTTGCGGGTTCACACCCTGGCTGGCTGCAGTGCTTGGGCTGGGCCAGTCCAAAGCCTGGAGCTTCTACCACATCGCCCACCTGGTTGCAGGAGCCCAAGCAGTTGGTTATTTTCCTCTATCTTCCTAGGCACATTAACAAGGAGTTGAATCAGAAGTAAAGGAGCCAGGATCCCACAATGGGATGCTAGCAAAATGCCAGCCCTTCAATTCTTTTATTGTTTTTTAAAAAGAGTCATTTATTTTTATTGCAAAGTCAAATATTCAGAAAGGAGGAGAGACAGGAAGACCTTCCATCCATTGATTCATTTCCCATGCAGCAGGCAATGGCTGGAGCTGAGCTGATCCGAAGCCAGGAGCCTGGAGCCTCTTCTGGGTCTCCCACGCAAGTGCAGGGTCCCAAGGCTTTGGGCCATCCTTGATTGCTTTCCCAGGCCACAAGCAGGGGAGCTGGATGGGAAGTGGGGCCACCGGGATTAGAATCGGTGCCCATATGGGATCCTGGCGTATGCAAGGTGAGAACTTTAGCTGCTAGGCTACTATACTGGGCCCCTTCTACTAATTGTTAAGGTAACCAAATAGTTAAATGTTTCATCAGCAAAAAGAAATGTGTGTATAAACCTATTTGGTACTGGTTTTTCTCACAAAGAGCTTATATTTTAAAACTTTAATCATGCTGTGTTTTTTTAGTCCTACAGGATCACATGTTGAATGGTGTAAGCAGCTTATAGCGGCTACAATTTCTAGTCAAATTTCAGGTTCAGTGACATCAGAAAATGTATCCAGAGATTACAAGGTAAGGAACCTTGAGTGTTTAACTCATTTTTGGTATGTGCAGTATCCAGGAAGCTTTGCAGTTTTAATTCAGATGAGCTTTGACCTCTTGATGCTCACCTGTCATTTGCTTGAGAATGAAAATTAGAGGCTCTCTGCTAGTAAATCTGTAATTTTGAAGAGCAATTTTACTAGTACACGGTATATGTCATCATAAATTTAGAATGGAGAGGAATTAAAAACTACGTTCCATGTTATTATAATAAATGCATTGTATATTCCTTGTTATTCTGAATTTCAAAAAATGTTCCCTAGATTTCAGCATTGAGATTTGTATGCAGGAATGACCTGTGAGTATTTAATATTAATACGTGATACTTCAAAGCAGAGCTATCCTTGCCGAATCTCTAATGAGTGTATACGGGAAGCCTTACTTTCTAGTCCTCAGTGAGATGAAAAATGCTTTGGTTTGCAATGTGGAGTTACCTGCTTGTGCTGCAGTCAAGCCTCACTGCTTGTTTCCCAGCATTCCCAAGCAAAGGGATGAAATGGGTGCTGTGTAAATACTGGCTCAGATAGCAAACCAAAAATCATTTGCTCCATCTTCCTTAAGAACTAACTTGGTCTTAATGATTTTCAACTATTAAAAGTTGCTGTAAATGAAACCACTTTTATGTTTCAATAGTATTCTCTTGAATTGAGGTTTCAGTTTATTAGTTATTCCTGCCTGCTAATAACAGATGATTGGTTTCTAATAAGTATGTGAGAATTGTGTTTGCAATCTCAGATGACCATCAGTTAACAGTCTCAAAATCTTAGTAATTCCCTTAATAACTGTTCCTTATTTATACCCTTTATTTTGCATCAGTTCCTTTTCAGTCCTAACAAGTGCAAAGAGCAGCACAAAGAGGCCATGTGTTTGAGATTTGACTAGATGCCGTCTCTTGCTTCACGTGGGCTAGCAGGTGCTGGTGATTATGCCAGAGGAGGGCATATCTGGGCATTAGTAGGAATTGGATACTTTGCCCAGCTAGAAGAGTAACAGTATGTAGTTTTCGCCTCTAGCCAGTTTTCATTTGAGATTCGTGGTTCACAAAACCTGGCTGGGCGAACATACTGCCGATCCCACTGGTCCCAGTTGCCCTCTTGCTCCGCTTTGGCTGACAATCAGCCCACTGAAGGAGACGCTTCAGAACCTGTATTGGCAGGGAGTAGCTCCCACATTTGGGGTACTCTTCTTTGTGGGCAACAAGAGTTTAGCTAGAAGGTTTTCATTATGGTTGAATAGTTGTTCCTGTTGTGTGAGTTTTACAACAGATTGAATGGCGACTGTGTATAAAGCTTTCTGACATACCAGCTTGAAGCTGTACTTCAACATTAAGCAACAAGTTTTTTTTGTTGTTGTTAAGATTTATTACTATTTGAAAGGCTAAATTACAGAGAGAGAGGGAGAAAGGGGGAAAGAAAGAGAGAGAGAGATTGGGAGATAAGGAGGTCTTCCCATCCACTGGTTGCAGTGGCCAGAGCTGGCATGGTCTGAAGCTGAGAGCCAGGAGCTTCCTCCATGTGTCTTCTGTGGGTGTGGGGCCCAAGCACTTGGACCATCCTGCACCACTTTCTCAGGTGCGTTAACAGGGAGCTGGACTGGAAGTGGAGTAGCTGGGACTGGAAGAGGTGCCCATTTAGGCTGCTGGTACCACAGGTGGAGGATTAGCCTGTTACACCATGGCTCTGGTCCTAGCAACTACATTTTAAAAATGTTTATTTACATTTGTGTGCTGCAAGGAGCCCACATTGGAATGGGTTAACAGATGATGTTCAGGAAAAAAAAAAAAGACTTTTCTGATTAGTAAATTGAATTTTAAATCCCTACATCAGATCACAGGTAAAACGTTTGGTGAATTATTTTAACAGCATGTTTTCTGACTGTTGCCAAATCTGCGAAGTTATTGTTAAATTTATAATTTAGGAGTTCCATGCTTTCTTCAAGGAAAGAATTTTGTTGCAATAAAAACATGAAAGATTTGTAAATTACAAGGATTATTGTGTGTACTGCTTATGAAGTAGCTTTTATAATCAGGGAAATCAAGCTGGGACTTTGGGGTGTCACTGTCTTCTGGAATGGGAGCCATTCCATGGAACTGGCTCCATAGGTTCCGATAGTTTCCTGAGGATGTAGCTTGCAGCCATCAGAATATAATATTTGGAATGATCTATTGTGTAAATAATGAATTTGAAATGCACTGAATTTGGAAGTTTGTTGACTGTAGTTAGCCTCCAGTTAGTAATGGCATAGGAGCAGGCATTGGCGTGGAACAGACGCTTGCATCTCAGCTTGCATCTCAATGCACAGTGCTTATGGGCTGCGTCATCATGATCGGCCTGCTGCCATGGGCAGACTCTGGCTTCATGATGACTTTTGAACACGTCCATTTAGGTCTTAATGCAACCCAACAAGGTAGCTATACCTGTTATTATAGTTATCACTTAATAGATGGGGAAACTGAAGCCTGGAAAGCGTAACTGACTTGTTTAGGACCACAGGGTTCAACTTGGGACTTGAACCCAAGTTGTCCTGTTCAAAAGAGTGATTTTTAAATTTAGCCCACCACCCAAAGATCAACAGGTTTTCAAAATATGCCCCTTGGATACCTTAGCAATGCAGGGTCCTAGGCTCCATTCCCAACTTCCTGAATCAGAATCTCTGAGAGAAAGAACCTAGTGCCTTGCATGAAAAAAAAAATCACAAAATCTTGGCTTCCTAGCTTTATATTTGCTGAAATTGGTGAGAGGAACATGTGTTTCTGGTACATTCTTAACAAATCTGAATGGTTAGCAATTCATGTTTGGTGTGGAGACCAATTATTTTTATCATTTTATATCAGAAATTGTTAGTCATCCCAGGATCAGATCACCCAGAATGTAGTAAGAATATCACTGGCATCATGTGAGAATAGTATATTCATGAGATATATTTTCATATTTATCTAATTACTTTATGGCATATTAGGAAAGGTGGCCCACAAAAGCTTATGATTTAGCAGATGTTAATTCATAGAAAAGGCAGATTATAAAACAGGATGAATTTTACATCACCTTGAAGACAAATGTTAGCTCAGGTGGTATGCAGATAAAGCAAGGCACACTTACAGAGGTGGTGTTAGGACAAAAGGTTGGCAAACATTGCACTAGCTGAAAGAGTGGGAAGCTATTATGTTGAGCTATGAGTCAACTGAATGAATAAATGTATGCTTTAATGCCAATTCATCCTGAAGATGATTCCAATAATTAAGACTACTAGCAGAACTGTAATAAAGTGTTTTGGTTTTGCCTGCCTACTGTTCCCAACAGCAAATCAGTTTATTTCATTTGTACTATTCTAGTAGTAAAAACAAAACAAAACAAAAAACTCTGGAATTGGTGCAGAAAATCAAGAGTATAAGATTTTAATGTAATCTTCCGTTTATCCGGTGTAACAATACAGTTATGGACATTTGATTTGTAATGAAAAATGTTCATGAGCTGTTAGCAGAAGCGATAGTTGATTGCACCTTCCACAGCTTCCAGTGTTTGGAAAGTAAACTAGAAGGGTAGAACAGGATGGAGTACAGATAGTACTGGCTAGATTTTGATCTATAGGTTCTTTATATGTAAGGATAACAGGGTTTGAATTAGATTATAAGCCTCTGCCTATCTTTGTGGAACATCAAATCCCAAAGGATTTGATTCTGGCTAGCCTTATGAAAACTAGGACATTTGGTAGTGCTGTGGCATAGTGTGTTAAGCTGCTTTCAGTGCTTACATCCCAAATGTGCACCATGGTGTTCAAGGCTCATCTGTTGTTCCAACTTCCTGCTGATGGCCTTGGAAAGCAGTGGAAGATGACCCAAGTGTTTTGTGCCCATGTCACCCACATGGGAGACCCAGAAGATGAGCCTGGATTCTGCCTGGCTTAGTGCTGGCCATTGTGGCCATTTAAAGGATTAACCAGCAGGTGGAAAATTCTCTCTCTCTCCCCCCTCCCTTTCTCTTTCTCTCTGTTTCTCTCTCCCCTCTGTCTTTTCCTCTCTGTAACTGTCAAAAAATTCTTTAAAAAATTAGGAGATGATAGTTTGAATGTGATCCACCTCCTTTTCTTGGCATCATCATTATCATGATCACATTTCTATTCCTCTCCTTGTCTTTCTCTTCCCCTCAGCTGTGTACACTCAAGTACTAGATCTCTTTTCTGAATATTATGAGAAGAAAATGGAGAAGGTCCTGTACTTTAATTATTGAGTGGAATAGTGGTACAATAATTATATTCTGGATCATCAACAGAAATTTCAAGAAAGGCTTTGGAGGGAAGGATGAAACAGTACATGGGAAAGACTTCATTAAGCCTTAGCTGGACCATTGTCAGTATTCCTTGGCTTGGGGATGGAGCCAGGAAAAGGGAAGCTTGAGCATGAGCTTCAGAGTGTGTGAGCCTAAGTCCATTGTGGGTAGCCTGGCCTTATGGCTTGTTTATTGTATCAGGGTTAAACCTTCTGATGCCTGCATTGGATAGTTAACAAACTGGGAAGACACAGGAATGCTGTGGAGTAGCAGAGTGAAAACTGCCCCCCTCACCACTTTAAGCATTGGACAGTTTTCAAAATCCCTGTTACTGGCTGAACCTCCAGCTTAGAATCACTGTAATAGGAAAGTGGTATCTTACTCACCACAGTTCTTATAAGAAAGAATTCTCTCGAAAATATCAAGGTTTGGACTTCTGTGTCTGGAAAGATGGAGCAGATGTATTTTCTCTTGTTCTTTACAGTAAATTGAAGAAAAAACTCTGAACACTATATGTCAAACAAACGCAGGAACACCTGGAAAGGTAGACAGAGCAGCCTGGCTAGGAACCACAGGGCCCAAGGAATGACATGCTGTTACATTCTTGGATTTTGTTTTTGCCGCATATGTGTCTCCCAGACTCATCGTTAATGAAGACACTGATGCAGAAATGCCAGCAGGCATGAGCAAAAGGCTGTTTTGTCT